ATATATATATATATATATATATTTAATATATTTTTCTTTTACAAGTACGTAATGTTTAACAACCCATGAAAACCATTATTTACCATTACCCAATAATTAAAATTTTCCCCAGACCGCCTGCAAGCCCCCACCCACCAGCCCGCCAACTATTTGTGTTCTGGCATTGATCGGTTTACAAATTAAGCCCAGTTAGTTGGTCTGACTATTGCTGTTATGATTCTGATCAGTTTTATGTAAAGAGTTTTCTGTTATATTTTGAAGAACTGGTGATTTATTTATGTTCATTATGTGAATAGGTAAAGTTTTAAAGTGGTTCTTGATGCTGTTAATTTTCTCAAAATTGTAATTTTTGGAATTTGAAAAAAAAAAATAAAAATTGCTAACTAAGTGTGTCTTGAATGAAATATGCCCCATGTTTAAAAGTATAAAAATGTATTAAAACTGTTAAAGAACAGGTCTTAAGTATTTATATTACACAAATATTTCCATTACATTAAAGAGACAAATTGAAGAAAATTATTTAATAAACATGAGGGTTATGAGGAGGTCTCTGAAATTTTTTCTCCCTTGTAAGGGGTCCCTGAACCCAAACAATTTGAGAACCCCTGACATGGAGGCTGCACAGCTGCAGAAAGAAAATCTTTGCAGAGAGTGGTGAAGGCTGCACAGAAGTCTGTTTGAGTCAGCCTCCCCACCGTCACAGACATTTACACCTCCAGATGCAGGAAGAGAGCGACCTGCATCATGAAGGACCCCACTCACCCAGCACACACACTTTTTGCCCCACTCTCCTCAGGAAAGAGGTTGAGGAGCATTAAATGTAGAACCACTAGACTGAGGAACAGCTTCTACCCTGAAGCTGTTAGACTCATGAATTTATAACCAGGATAATCACTGTGAAAAATCACATCATGTTGCTGCTGATCTGTTTCATGTTGCTGCTGATCTGTTTCATGTTGCTGCTGATCTGTTTCATGTTGCTGCTGATCTGTTTCATGTTGCTGTGTTCATTCGTGCTCATCTGTTCACATAAACTCATGTTCGTGCTGCTGTTGTTCGGCACATGTTTTTATTCTATTAGTGCTTAGCTTATTTTTAGTTGATGCTTTTTTAGTTATATCTTAGATCTTATCCATCCATCCATTATCTTTACCCGCTTATTCCATTTTGGGTCATGGGGGTCGGGGCGGGGTACATCCTGGACGGGTCGCAAGTCCATCACAGGGCCACATAGAGACAAATGAGACAAACAACCATTCACTCTCTCACTCACACCTAGGGACAATTTAGAGTTACCAATCAGCCTAACATGCATGTTTTTGGACTGTGGGAGGAAACCGGAGTACCCGGAGAAAACCCACGCATGCACGGAGAGAACATGCAAACTCCACCCAGAAAGGTCCTGGACCGGGGTTTGATCCAGGGACCTGCTCGCTGAGAGGCAGCAGCTCTACCAGTTGCGCCACCGTGCTGCCCTCTTAGATTTTATAGTTTTTCTTTTACATTTTATTGTTGTATGTAACTGGGACCTTGTTTACATAATTTCTTTCCATCACATGTACCACATGTGGTGCAAATGATAAATAAATCTCTCTGACTCTGACTCTCTGACTAACTCTGACTATAAACTGTCCTTACATTAGGCTTTTTGACCTGAAACAGTTTTCGTTAATTTGAACAAAACATTTACTAGAATCAATCAATCAACCTTTATTTATACAGGTAAATCCCATTGAGCCTCGAGGACTCATTTACAAGAGAGACCTGATTTCAACAAAGAAAGATGACAACAATGGACAACAGCAACAACAATAAACAGTTATAAAAAAGCATACTACAGTTTTTTTTTGTTTTTTTTAACAAATAGGATGGCTAAAAGGAA